GGTTGTTGCACTGTGCTCTCCAACATTCAGCTCATATCATATGTGATCGAAATGGTGAAATAGAAAGGGGAAACAAAATTATGTTAATTTAAGCTGCTCAAAATTCAATTTTGTAGATTATTATTATAATACTGGATATTGTGATTTTTTCTGATATGGTGCGCACCAGAAAAATGTACGTATGAAATATAAATATAAAATGAATGTATATATATATATATATATATATATATATATATTGAATAAGGCAGACTAATGGAACATGGTTATATATAAAACTCCATATATTTGCTTTGCGCAAATGATTATTGTAAACATGGTTGTACGGTTCATCGGTTTATCAAACCTCTCATTAAACAAAGTTTATTTTGAAAGGCATAAAGGCTGTCATATGCTCGTTAGTCATAGAAAGAACTAATGTTTGCAAACGGCATATCATCCATGGATACGCTGTTGTACATAGCACATGAAGTAATTAAATATAAAGCTAGAGGTTTTGGATAAAAACACATGAATTGAAAAATATGCGCAATGTATTAGAGGACTTCTATTAATTACTTCTGTGTATTAGAGTTTTTTACAGACGTGTTTCAATTAGATATACATTGTCGCTCATATAGTTGAAATAAAAAATAAAATGCAAAAAATTATCAATAATTCATTGGATTTTAACCCGGTCGTAAATAAATCCTCTATACGGCCATGCATTATGGCTCAAGGCATAGGCACACAGAAGATTTGTTTCTGTTGGGGACCGGGGGGAAATTTAATGAATCATTGATAATTTATTGCATTTTCTCTGTGTTTTGTTTATTTGTGGGACCTGCCCCCTATCCTAGCCCCCGCTGCGTACAGTCATGGTTTAGTGGCAAAGCAATGGCCTCGTAACTGTGAGGCCCTAGGATCAAAACCATGTCGATGTGCCATATTAGTGCCCTTTTGTGGGGCATTAATCCTCATTACTGTCATTTATGACTTAAGGGCGTAGGTCCCCTAGTTGATGAGCATAGTAGCATACATATTGCTTTAGCAGTCACGCAAAACAAACACTGGCAAATTATTATTCAATAAAATCTGACAATGTATACTATTATCTTAATCTATTACAAATAAATCATTGCTTCCATAAATTGGGGTAAAAAAACAATATTCCAACTATATGATCGACAGTGTATATCTAATTGATACACGTCTGTAAAAACTCTTATGCACAGAAGTAGTTATAAAAACACACAAAGGTGCTAAATACGAGTCAGTCCACTAAGCATAACAAAAGAGAAGAGTAATCGAAATATATAATTGCTTCACTGCGTGCAACGCACGTATAAGGGACTTCTTTCCACCTTCATAGACTTCACATACTAAAGTATGTGCGTATATATACAGGTGGTATATTGCACGTGATGGCCCAACCATGTTCACCTTATCCCCTATGAATAATATTGATTCCAGGTTTCTAACCTGTTTCACATCGTATTCCAGAATAACCCGATAAGAGTAAGCGCACATGTATATCCATTGACTTGTTCGATGCAAGTGCCTCCCTTTACAAGACAATCGAGTTAATTGACAAACGAAGCAAAATGTACTGCTCACGAAGCATCTATTATTGTCTCTAATTGATTTCTTCAAATCAATGGATATAATTGAATAGTAAACAACATGCAATAATCTTTAAAAGCAATTATTGCAGATGAAAATGAAGCCAGTGCTATACTCACTCGTTTTTGTGAAGACTTACAAATGCAAGTTAACCAGTTTTCCAGCAACGCTGACATGGAAGCAGGGGTCGCTTTCTCGAAGCCGTCATATGTCTAAGCTTAAGGATATCCATGGGATGTCTTAGAAGTTATACTTATAACGATTTCCATAAACGGCCCTCTAGGTATCATAGAAATCTTAGCTATATTGGCCAGATTGTATCGATTAAAGCAACAAATGGGATTAGTTGTATCACATTCTGTGATCCGAAGTAATCGAGAAATACGACTTTTTAATTCAAGAAAATTAAAGTTATAAAAATGATTATTTGACTTTTTGATATTGGATTTCATGAAGGTGAAAAACAAACAAAAAGTAGAAATGTTAGAATACATTTGTCGGGTCTCTCCCCCCCCCCCTCTTTCTCTCTCTCTCTCTCTCTATCTTTCTCGCTCTTTCCATTTTTATATCTTCTTTATCTGTCATTTCCTCAATATTTTCTTTTTCTCTTTCGACCCACTAACTCCTCCACTTCTTTCTGTTATCTCCTTTTTGGTCTAGTATCCACAAGCAGGTTTTCTTCCTCTGAATGCAATTATATCACGACCCCTTGGTTTTATTAACTGATTTCTTTATTCATAATCTGAAATCAGGGTTGACTATGCAGCAATGCAAATTCGTCTACCACAGAGCGCTACATTGTTTTGATCTATACAAAAAAAAGCATACAGATATTGCAGATAATGGAATATTAGAACAATTAGAAAACAAAATTATTATTTGTACTGGGTTTACATAATAATAGAATTAAAGGAAATAGAATATGCAAAAATCAGGAACGTGTGCAAAGGGCATTACTGTAGCCATGCTAACCCCGACTCCATCATGTTTGTGTTGCGATCATGCTATCCATTCAGAGATTGGTTTATACATGCAGTTATAGATATATATCGAACCATAGGTTGTCTTCTAAATCATTAAGTGTTGACAGGGAGATCGAAATACAGCACTAAATTCCTTTGGCAAGACATTGATCTACATTTGCCACACTCCACCCAGGTGAAGTTAATGGGGACCGGTAGGAAGGAATTCCTTGAATGCTTGAGCAACGAAATTGGTAGCCTAGCAGAGCCGGGGTAATTTTGGAGCACTTTGAGCACCTTGCAGGGTGGATATGTGCGCTATATAAATCCAAAATATTATTATTATTATTATTATTATTATTATTATTATTATTATTATTATTATTATTATTATTATTATTATTATTATTAACATTTCTCTTCGACCACACATATCAGAATTAATTGAGATGAGGCATTTTTGTAATCAAAATGAGTCTCAAGGGTTACATATGAATCCTTCAATACGTTTTATATAAACATCTTAATCTATTACTATTGATCTGAGAATCGTTGCAAAATTTGTTGTGAGCCTTTTTATATAAACATCTTAATCTATTACTGTTAATCTGAATATCGTTGCAATTCTCGGTATTAGCCTTTCAAGGTGACTTCCATCTTGTCATAATTGGTAATTAATTTATTTCTATAAACATTTTCACATACTTCAATTCACTTACTTATTGCGTGACATGTAGTTTAAGCTGAGTTTATGATTATACAAGACTATCTATTTACATATTTGGCATCATCCATAGATTTTCTTGAGTTATGTAATAATCATCTGCTAACATTGTAAACAGGAGAGCTCAAAGAATTACCCAGAGGATATTCCCATGCTTACAAACGCAACATTTGTTTTAATTTTGAATGGGCACGATTTTTTTACTCTAAATTAAGACTTGAAGTAAATAATACCGTCTACCAGAATACGTTTATATGAAATTTGATAACATTAAGAAAATGATGTTTTTCGATTAGGTTATTACCAAAGGCCTAAATTCCTATGCAACTGTACACTAAATCACTGTTATTCACACGTGGTTAGTCCTCGAGTGTAGTGAGAATTAAAGATGAATGACATCCTTGCTATTTTCCGTGCCATAGATACTACACCATAGTACAGCGATAAAAATATATTATACATCTGAATATACACGATGATTCTTGTAATTATTACAAACATAGTTCAAAGTCTAAGCACTTACTTAATCTTTCCATTTAGGACTAGATGTCAGAAAACCTTTGGTTCCTTTCTTTCCAAATTCACTTTCTAAGCAACTTGAATGATTCATAAATTACTTACAGTCATGTTTGACTCAACTGAACTTACATCACATAATTACACGATGTTGAATAGTGTCCAAGAAAAAAAAAATCGAAAGCCGAAATCAAACGATTGTTTCGAACAAACTAAGAGCTGTATTGAAATAAAATATTTAGCTTTTCATACAAATAAAAGTGCATTCAAATGCTACACTGATTACATTAATCCTTTAATCTAAGTGCACATAGGTGTAAATACCACCCTCAACTAGCAGACCATGGAGAAAGAAAACAAAATGAAAATTGAAAAACAAAGAAACATATAGGAATTTAGTAAAGCAATAGAATAGGAGGAATGGAAAGAATGTTAATCACTATCAAATGTTTTTAATTTCTATCAATGGTTGAAAGGTTTGTAAAGAAGTTTTTGCGCAAAGTTCTTAAATCTCTAAGAATTTTTCCCGCCAGTGCTAACTTCCATTTTGTCATTTCTACAAAGTGACGTGATTCGAGATGAAAATTAATTGATTAATTTTTTTTTTTATTGACCGCAACCAAGAAATTAATTAATGACACCGCATGTTCACAGATGACGTAACACCTGAACTGTCTTTGACCAAAAGAGACGTGTTGAAATAAATATTTGTTGACAAGTTTCCATTGAAAAATAATGATCAATAAAGATGAAATGTGCAAGATCTTGAAGTTCAGAAACGAAATTAAATCAAAATGAGTAAAAAGTGTTGAATAATATCCAAAATTCGTGTATAGACATATAGCACGATATTGAACAAATGATGTTCGACAAGATCACAACGACTTTCGAAATAGTTATTAATGAGAGGCAATTTCAGTGGCCCTGAACATCACATGTTAAAATGTGCGGATACAACAATTACGTCTTAAATCGGAAAATAACTTCTTTGTGATATACAATGTACATTGATCTTGAGTTAACTTCTGTAAAAGGTTTTGCAATCGTATTAAATACATATTATTTATCTTCTTATAAAATATCCGTATAAGTGTGAGGCTGTCCTGCATATGGATTTTCAAGTTGTCCTTCGTCTGAGCGACCGTCTTCGGCATCATTCCTCTCAATTCTGATTGCGTACTGTCTTGATGCGGGTCTTAGAGGTAAAGGTCGAAGTTCAACCGACGGGTTGGCATCTGTACTAGCGTCACTTGGCTCTTTCCTTGAGCGTGTGCGTTTCTGAACCGCCGTGCTTGATGAAAATAACGGAAATTAATTAAAAGTTATATTTAATATCAGCAAGTGCCATGTAGCTTATAAGCATCGAAAATGAGATTTAGTAACGCTAAATCCAGATGAGGCTGCAGATTAATTTTACCCATAAAAAAAGATGTTATCACAAAATACCCATACCATACATAAGCATTCCTTGCTTTAAGCAGGGCTTCTGTAGTGTATTATTGATGTGTCCATATACCCACGTTATAATTGTTTTTATACAATTTATGCCTCTTAAAAACGGACTTTTAAACTTCTAATAATGCCGGACGAATTTCGATGGTACTAGTAGATGTGAATCTTTTTAGAAGATAAAGGATCCAACATTTGCCCAAATCGGTGGATTCTTTTCTTTTTATATGCATTTCTGTTAAACAATGTCCAAGACATCGACCTGCAGTGCTTCTTGATGAATATATGGTATAATTGTGCAGTTTTAGGAATTTACCTTTGCCTAAGCTTTGGTCAAGATGTAACAAACATCAGATTGAACACTAAAATAACATTCATCACACAGATTTCCCCTTTTCAGCCTTTTTTTCAATGGCTTTTTAAACACAGACATGAAATTATACGAATTATTTAAAACGCAGTTTCTGTGATACTTGGAAAATTTGAATTCCTACCTTGCGTTACAAAATTCTCCCTAAATCAAGAAACTCTTTATCAAATTATTATAAATATGCTTGTCCGTTTTGATTGGGCCATCTTGCATATGGGTCAATCTAAGTTTATTTTTTACATTTAATGTCGTATTTGAGCTATAAACATGACAAAGATGGCTTGAGTACGTAGGCAACAATAACAACAACAACAACAGCAACAACATCTTATTGAAATCAAAATATACCTCTTTTGTCTTTTCATGTAGCAAAGAAGGCTACAAATGACCAGTAAAAGCAGAAGTACAACAGCCGCCGTTGCGATGTAGATGGTGTCTATAAAAGCAGTAAAAAAAGTGAATAATATGAATATATTTTGTAAAATTCATTTTAAATGGGCTACAAATGGCTCTCCATAGTTTTTAAGTCTAACTTAAGAGTTGAGTTCGACTTACAATCTTTGTGAAACACCCCCTGGACCATTACCCCCAATAGGTTAATTGTCGTAAGGGTGAAACCCCTAGAACAAATACCTCTTCAGAACAATTATCCCTTATTACACGGACCCCGAGGACAACCACCACCGAAGACAATAACCTCTGAACAATCACCCATAAGAAAATGACCCATTAGGACAATCATACCTAGAAAGTTTTCCCCGAAGACAATTACACACCTGGAAAATTACCCATTGGACAATTATAGCCTGAAGATAATTACAACCACTCATATTTACCCCCGTACACTTATCATCCAGAAAAATACCCTCGGACCAATAATACCCACGTGTGCGCACATTTTTAAGTTTAGCGTGCTCGCTTTGTTGTTTGGATGGTGGATATTGAAGGCTGCTTCCAAGGCCCCTTTCACAATAAAATCGCATGACCAGAACTCAGCATTATCTTTAAGTACAATAAACTGATCGTGTTCCATGAAACCGTACTCCAATACACTAAATAGGTACGCTCTCGACAGCAGTTAAATGCGCAGACATATTTTACCAAATGTTCTATTATTTTTGCATCCTCTTAATGCAAAAGCTATAAACCGTTAACATAGAAAAAAATAACTTACAGTTGGTTGCTGCTATTGGTTCAGGTGTTGTAACAGGTCTCGAAGTGAAATTCGTAGTTTGTGACAAGGGATCCGTTGTTTCTGGGAGATGGGTCCCAGTACCTAAAGCTGCCGACATGCGTGAAAATAAATATAAATACTGACAAAGGTTCTAGGACATTTACCCCCTGGACAATCACGCCGGGAAATTACCAGCGGGACAATTACCCAATTAGGACAAATATCACATATGACCATTACCTCAACAGAACATTTACCCCTTATTAAACGGACCCTGAGGACAATCACCCCCGAAAACAATAACCGCCCAGGAAAATTTCCCTTAGAAAATTCCTCTGAACAATCATCCAACGGAAAACGACCCCGTTAGGACAATCACCCCTAGGACAATTACGCCCTGAAATTAATTACAACGGAGCATAATTGCCCCCATAAACCAATAATACGCTGCAATGACAATCCCCTGGATTAATAAATACCCAGCAATTCACACTTTCCGAGAGCCTTGGCGATAATAATTACCCTTATTGACTGATATTCCTCCTTTTTTAAACACAATTGCGATATATCATTAAACGCCAAAATATAAGTTCATGGTCAGCAGTAGTTGTTTATCATCGTCCATAAAAACATGAAAACAAGGATTCCCCCTTATAAATTTATCTTCTTCTCAGCTTTGGCAATTTGAAGATTTCTTCATATTTAATCGTTTGTGACACATAATGGCAAAATCACTTTCCTCAGGTTAACAAAATATAAGAATATAAGATATCCTCCAAGTATACTCTAGTATTGTTGTTCTATGATTGTAATAGAAATCCCATAAATCGACGGTATACTCACCTGAATACTAAGCATTACAATATTAAAGTAGCATTAGTACATATTGGGTTAGGATACGCTCATATTTGAAAAGAATTTGAAAAAGAGATCTGAATGAAATTTTGTGACTGATATTTTCAACCCTTGTTACCGATAGCTGCAGTGTTTGGGTTAATTCTGCTGTGTATATGTATATCCCATAAAATATTTGAGAACTATACTGACAAAATAAGACATGTAATGCTTACTAGTTTCACAGTTTTGTCCTGTAAAGCCTTGCTCGCAAATACAGGTGTAGGTTGCCGATCCTACAGTAGGAACACACGCTCCGTTCTCACACGGATCTGGATCACATTGATCGATGTCTATAGAAATATTACAATCAAGTATATGATATTAAAATGTGTGCACATATATTTATAACGTTGACATTCTGTTTTATCATGGACTATGCAAAATTTAAATTATAAAGATTTCACTTTTATACGATTCCATATTCAACAGTATTAATGTAATTAACTTTTTAAAATCTCTTGATAGCAGAAACATAACCTAGTCTGCAGAGAGAAGAAGCCTTAATTCCATGTTTGGAGCATTCAATTTTATTCATTCCTTTTCGGTATGTTCATGAATCAGGAAGAGAGAGAGAATATATATTGTGTTATAAATCTCACCGGATAGGGAACTATTTACAGATGTGCATCAGCATCTACAAATAATATTTTTCAAGCTCTTATCTATTGAAATTGTACATATACATTTCTAAAGATATTTTCTTGAATTGTCATTCTTTAAAAGACACGTGTCGGTGATATAGTTTATGGTTTCAGTTATATTTTCCGTATATAGTTTTATTCATTCATGCTTAACAGTACGATCATAATAAACTGAAAAATCATGGCATTACCTATTTCACAATTTGTACCCGAAAAACCGTTCAGGCATACACAAAAGACCTCGTTGACCAAATCTATACAGGTGCCATCGTTTAAACAGGGGTCGGTAGGCAAGCAGTCATCGATATCTGTAAAATACTATTGATTTGATCATCTGCTAAAAGAATTTCTTATCTTTGAATAATCCATTATAAAACTGTATTTTTGAATCGTTAATAATTTGATTTGGCATTGTTAAACTTGACAATATACAGTTGTTATCATATTGTAAATATTCTTTAACTTACCTGAACGGTTCAACGTTAATTGAGTACAGTGGATCGTATGCATAACAATTAGCTATGCCAGCACAATGATAAGCAATTACTTGCTGCCCGCAAATTGCTTACAGATCAAGCATTGGCTTTTTAATGTTTGCATAAAACGAACCTTTTACTTGTTCTCATAAACATATGCTTACGTTTTTTTCAAGATTCGTCAAACCAGATTGAGCTCTTGCTCAATCTGGACGCTCGCCTTTAAGCATCATATTCATCAGATTGTTGCTAGGTAGGACAAACATTATTACTTAGTCTTACCTAACAACATGAAATGTATGCAATTTACATTCTGACTATTGATACAATTATTCGCACTACGGGAATTAAATATTTTTTTTAACTAGTCACTTAACACAGATTTGTGCATTTATAAATTTGATTACATAATGAAAATAGCCTTTTGCTTGCTGTGAGTTTGATCTTCTACTGGCAAGTCATTTTTTTTAACTTTAAGCCCATAGCATATATATTTAAGTGAAATCCCATTCATAAAGCACTAATTAAGGAAGTATAAAGATTTCCAAATTGGATTACTCAGACTGTTTCTTCTTTAACAGTTTAACGATAGTTAATGAATATATATAGGGCAACGTTTCTCCCTCCAAGACAAAAATCAAGACAACGAAATAAGAAGAAGAATCAAAGCTGGATGGCGAGCCTTTGGCAGATACAGCACCATCATGAAAGGCAAACTTCCATTATGCCTGAAAAAGAAAGTATATAACCAGTGCATCATCCCAGCAATCTCATACGCTGCAGAAACATGGACACTAACTTCAAAAATGGAAAGAAAGCTAGCAGCCTCGCAACACAACATGGAAAGAAGCATTCTAAGCATCACATACAAAGACAGAAAAACGAACAAATGGATCAGGGAACAGACAAAAGTCCAGGACATCCTTGAAACAGTGAAAAGATGGAAATGGAATTGGGCGGGCCTCATCAGCTGTAAGAATGACAATCGCTGGAGCTCAGCAATCACTCACTGGACACCATATGAGGGAAAACGAAACAGGGGACGTCAAAGAAAAAGATGGCGAGACGAGCTGCAACAGTTCTGGGGACAGACAAATTGGCACCAGCAGGCGCTGAACAGAAGCATTTGGAAACATCATGCTGAGGCCTTCATCCTGCAGTGGATTGACAACGGCTGATAAAATTTTAAAAAAATCAATGAATATAATGATTTCCAAAAAGATGACAAATAAATACAATTCATTTGTATTTTCCTTACGAATATGGTAACTGCATACAATGATCTCTAGCTGCATGTATTCAGAAAAAGGTAAACTAAGAAATATCAAGTGTAAGCTGGACAGAGTGCTACAAAATCATCAAAATGTTCATGGTTCCAGAAATGAGGTGGTGCCAACCTGTTTAAAGTCTTTGGTCGCTATGTTACCATTACAAGACCCTGTTAAAAGACCCCAGACTAATTAGATCCGATTTTAAATAACGCCCAGTATCCGGTTTCAATGTTAGTGCAACATAGACCTATTTGGTTGATCGGTTACTGCATTCTTCCATGTCTATAGGTTTTGATACAGGAGCAACCCGTCTCCAGTACCAAATGGGTTAATATAATGAAATGAAATGAAACTTACTTGTTTCACACAAATTACCGATAAAACCTGGTAAGCAGGAGCATGAGAACATTGTAAATTCATCCACACATGTTGCACCATTCAGACAAGGACTGGTAGCACATGTATTAGGTCCTAGGAAGACAGAAACAACACATATTGAGAGAAAATCTGCATTTGCAAAATATTAACTTTAAGGAAAGATGGAATGTAGACAATGTTGTCTTAGATGTGGAAGAAGCCGTGGAAACTAAAAATTGTTCTGATTCCCTAGTTCCTTGGTAAAGGCATTGTTAACTATTCACCGATTCACGTCATTCAGATTAAACACTTATCTTAATTTAACAGATCCATAGCTTGCAATGAGGATTTATTCATTTTCTAGCTTGTACGATAGACAACTCTCTTCTACAGAATCCCTGTACTACATTGAGATGTTAACACGAAGAGCTTCAAACGATCCCAGGGTTAATATTTCTTCATATTTCCAATCCGTTATTGGGTTTAGTATTGTGTAAGATTCCAAGTCACTGCACATACAGTATTCGTTTCGTATTTGCAAAAAGCGAATTCTACATCCGGTTATACAAAAACATCACTTTTACATACTTATCTCACAGCGCAGTCCAGTTATCCCAGCAAAGCAACTACATATGTATCCGTTTGTAATATCGAAGCAAGTTCCTCCATTTTGGCATGGTTCACTGGCACATTCATCTGTAGGGAGTCCGAAGTTTACACACAGACATTAACCTACAGTTACCACTCTCCACCAAAGTCTCAATGAGTATATAAAATGATTGAGCACTAGTTAGTTTGGCAGCTCGACCGTGGTACAAATACAGGATCATACATTGAAATTTGTTCAGAGAGTCACAAGTTTTTTCAGGATCTATTTCGCTTGATGCATTTATTTCTCAATTCCAATAAAGTAAATATTTCTGTCATGTATTACTTTACCAGACATGACTCTTCTCTTGCTGATAATTACCCATGCTTTTGGCATGTTCGTTCAGATCTAAAGTGTACACTGCCATCATGTTGCTCTCCCGGGAGGTTTGCAATGCCGTCTACCATTAGTAAAAAAAAAAAAAAAAAAATGGATTATAGTTACCTGTGGCTGTTTCACAGTTAGTACCGCGGAAACCGTTGATGCATTCACATCTAGATCTACCTCCTGATTCACCAAAGCACTGGCCATCGTTCTGACATGGCCTACTGGCACATTCATTATCAGCTGCTCAAAGGATAAAACATTGAGGTATTTATTGAAACTCTCATCGGTTAGGATGATGACTGTAGAGATGTTGTGTTCTAGTGGAAAAATTATCGGCACTCTTGATCATACGGTTCTCGGTTCCGGTGCATTGTATTTTGTCATGTCATTAGTCTACATTTTCCACTCTTCACACAGGTGCAGTATTAAACTTGGCACCAGTTTCAAATATATCTTTGAATGTTTTCAGTGATTAAGGGCAGCTGGGCTATTACATGTCAATCCAGGGTATGAATAGTACAATGTACGCACCTTTAGCAATGTTAATTTGGTTAGTATTCTTATCAGTATATAGATCATAATATTATAAGGAGGATGATGTTAGTGATGAAGATGAGTATTATTATCATCATCAATTTTTAATCATCTTTAACAAATATTGATAATTAACTGAAAACACGGCATCGCCTATAGGATTTAACAGTGATATTCTGCTCTTGTTGTATGAAAGCACATCTGACAATACAATACAGTGTGTCTATGTGCTTCAAAAGTGATACGGGAGGTAAACGTACAAATGGAAATGACAAGACCCACCTCGATTTATTACCAAATTAGAATTGCCTTCTTGAAGAAGCTCTGCGAAATCACTGAAGGTATCTGTTGAATCCCGGTAAGAAACCAGTCCTATGACGTAGGGAATGAGAGGATTGAGTCCTGAGACGGCATAACTGGTCTGACCAAGGGGAAGTACAGCCTGTGTAAATGTAATAATATTACATTAATGCGGGTAACTCTTGCTCTGATCCATATGTTAAGAATAGTAATGTATTTATATAGCGCATTTGTTCTAGAATTTCAGCTGATATTCACAATAGTATAGTTGTGACTTAAATTAACTACTGATATAGACAGACTTATTTTTCGTCTTTGATTTGTTAAAAGTGAAAATTTGAATTTGAAAATTTGAAGACTCAGAGTAATAATATGCTATAAAGGAATTTTCAAGAAAGAAAGATAAATAAAGTTTACCACCTATCACAAAAACAAAGATACTGAATCAAATGAAATAGAAATGACAAGTTTGTGACCCTGTTACCTTTTGATGTATAACCGTTCAGGAATGTAACTTCTAGCTTTTCAGCTATCTTGAAGGCAAACAGGTTTAAATTTATTATTTCTCAGCTTTTAAGCAGTTCGTTATTTCCGAATTGTTTTTATCATTCAATCTCTAATTGAAACTTCACTTTGCTATTGCATCTTGAATGATCCCTTCCCATATGAAGAAATTTCGTTTTCCTAGGCATGCAATCCTATTTTGTCTCCTCCATTTTTATACTTTCTCCTGCTGTACTCAAAATGCACAACATAATATTGACCAACTATATCGAAAATAATATATAATAATATTTTGATTATGTGTGTCGTCTTTGTTTTTGGATTTAAAAAAAAATCATTTATTTCAACATATAATATTTGAATGTATAACTATTGTAGTTCCAACCAGTTACAATGATATTTTCTTTCGGCGTGATAGGAATAAATGAATTCTTGCAAAGTTACTTCCACAGGAATGTGTAGTATATTTCTGCATTTCATTTATATACTATGAAATACGCACAGGTGTAAAACATTTTGATCTAACTTGAGGCCTAAAGTAACCATCTAATCGTTGAGGGCTAAACTACGAATGTCATTGCCTCTTCCATATCCAGAACATGAGAGCGATCTTGAAACGATTTATCGTTATTATCATTACCAATCACGTCTGAACAATCCTTAATGCTGTTTTTTTTAATCGGCACCATTTGTTATGAATATCATTTGATAAGTACACTGTCGCTCATAAAGGTGGAATATTTTTTTTAACCCCAATTCATGGAATTATTTTAAAAATAATTTTAAAATAATAGATCTCGATAATAGTATACATTCTCAGATTTTATTAAATACTAATTTGCCAATGTGTGTTTTGTGTGACTGCTGAAGCATGTGTATGCTACAATGCTTATCAACTAGGGGACCTACGCTCTTAAGTCATAAATGACAGTAATGAGGATTAATGCCCCACAAAAGGGCACTAATCTAGCACATCGACACGGTTTTGATCCCGGGGCCTCACAGTTACGAGGCCATTGCTTTGTAACTGAACCATGACTTTACGCAGCGGGGGCTAGGGTAGGGGGCAGTTTTCATAAATATAAAAAACACAGAAAATACAATAAGTGTTCAATAATTTATTGCATTTTACCACGGTTCCCAACATAAACAAATCTTCTGTGTGCCCATGCCTTGAGCCATAATGCATGGCTGTCCAGAGGATTTTTTATGTTGGGGACCAGAGTAAAATGCAATAAATTATTGAAAATTTATTGCATTTTTGTTTTTTTTTTTATTTATGGAAACTGCCCCCTACCCTAGCCCCCGCTGCGTACAGTCATGGTTTAGTGCCAGAGCAATAGCTTCGTAACTGTGAGGCCCCAGGATCAAAACCGTGTCGATGTGCCATATAAGTGCCCTTTTGTGGGGCTTTAAACCTCATTACTGTCATTTATGACTTAAGGGCGAAGATCCCTTAGTTGATAAGCATAGTAGCATACACATGCTTCAGCAGTCACGCAAAACACACATTGGCAAATTATTATTCAATAAAATCTGAGAATGTATACTAATATCTAGATCTATTATTTTAAAATTATTTTTAAAATAATTCCGTAAATTGGGGTAAAAAAAAAATTCCACATTTATGAGCGACAGTGTAGATAGAAAAAAGAATTGTATAACACATTCTGCTGCGGCAGTTCCTCTGCATTCAGTATCCTACACTAACCAAATTCTTTGCTTAAACCCTGGACCAAACACAAACATATATACGTATTAAGCCTAAACCTAAAGCGAACCTAACATTCAATAGACAACCAACTCTAGACTGATATCTTATATGCACTAAAGCCTGGAGCAACTGTTACCAGGGCACTTATGATAGATGTTCTCTTTCATCTATGTCACTGTCCTTACCTGTGTAAATGTAGTAGGATCCTGAGTTTCGGTACCATGTTCCACTATGTACCCATCTAGTCGCCCATCAGCAGGGGGATTCCATTCAAGAAAAACTGTAGCTCCATTTACTTCTGAGAAGCGGCCATTTATAGGTGGATTCGGTCCTGTGGTCGCGTGGGATTATGGTATCATTATTTGAAACTACGAAGGTGGTATTAAAATGTACATGTACGTGTCTCTCCCTCGTTTCAAAGACATATGCTTGGTTACAGTGGAAAACACCGTACTTTCCGAGGAACTGAGTGACTCAGTTCCTCGGAAAGTACATTAAATAGAGGACGCGTGTAGATCAGAGTCACTAACTGTGCATGTTAAGAACCTACTGCACTTGTTGTATAAAGGTAGGGGGAAACCCAAGGTGAGGTGATCCACCTGTGTATCCAAGTCAGTTATACAAGGTGTAGATACCTGAGGGTTACAATGATTCAGTTTGCTTTTCCCCTCCCAGGCACGCCAAATAATAAATGATAATAATAATAACGTATTATAGGTACCTTTAGTAATATAATATTCATACCATTACTAACCTCACAGCACTTTGAATGATACGTTCTAAGAAACATAGTGCCGGGTAAATACATGTACCCCTGCAGGATACAAACATGTATATTATTAAAATGACAGTACAGAAGAGCTATTTAATTAAACATAGTAAGATACAATAGACACACCCTTTGTCTGTTACTGTAAAACAAGTGGGTCTAATAAAATGGGGTTTCAACTTGATGCATTTGAAAGACAATTATAACATGGACACCATTATCTTACTTGTAAATTCGTTTAAAGTTACTTGATCTTCAAGCTGCCCAAGACTGGTCACACCTTGGATCTTTACATTATATTCCGTGCCCGCTGTAAGACCGACGGCATTGACAGTCAGTATACCGCCATCACGATTTGCAGTGGCGGGAAGTTGTACAGAGAATGGACCACCAACTTCACTGACTGTGATCAGGTAGCTTGGGTAGGTAAATTCAGGTCTATCTTCCAACATGACGTCGAAGCTTGTAGTTTGGATGTTTGAGGCACTGGCGACGAGATCAAGTATGTCTAGAGCAGAAGACATTGCAAGATAATAGAAACATTTCAAGAGTTTATTGAAATTTTAATCATTCATATTTTGTTCTCTGTGGTAGCATCTTATTCAAATTGTCATCAAATAAAAAGATGATTTAGAGATGAAATATGAACCGTGAGGTTTATTCCCAATATTTGTATGTCACTTTAAAAGAATATCATATCAGGGAGAAATATCCCCTGAAAAAGATTGCTTTTCATATGCCCTAATGTTCTAACTATTGGAGGAATATCTGAAAAGTTTAGACAAAAATCTCACGGTACATGACTTGTGTGCAGTCCCATATACGCATATATGCGTGCAGTGCATGTGATTTTGATCAGCAATTAGATAAGTAAATTTCATGTTGATCATAATTGTCTTAAAGATGAAGATGAGTTCTGGTCATGCGATTGCATTGTGAAAGAAACGGTGTGGAATCGACCAGATAAGATTGATCAATTCGCATATAAGAATTTGTGTGTATTGCAAGGTTCTCGAATCATCAAAATGATAACAATTTCTTGGTAATTTTACAAACACTGTACACAGAAAGATGTATATGGGACTACACGAACACGTGGCGTAAAAATCCTACCCCCGAGTTTTACGATGTTACATGACATATTTAGAATATGAAGGCATTTGAAGAGCCATGCTTTTCAGGGAACATGTCTTATCTGATGTTCTTCCACACTTGCATAATAAGAATGATAACGCTCACAAATTATTTTCACCTCTTCCCAGAACTCAACCTTCTCTTTAAACCTCACAGTATACATTAATGGTCATGTACTACATAATCAACCTTTCATAGTTGCTTCCACCAGTAATCATTTTTTATCTCAAAGTTATAATCTAAAAAGACCACTATGGAGCTACAAAAAACATGAAATCTTACAAGAATGTACATCGCTGGAAATATCATAGATGAATGCGTATGTTCCTATTGAGGAGACAGATGTCCTTGAAAACCAGGTTTGTTAATATAGGTGTGTGACTGTGTGGAATACTCTCATGTTGATAATTCAAACAAATCCTTATTGGGATGATGGAATCTACCCCCACACCCCCGAATCGGGGGGAAATGGATACGAATACGCTCGAATGATGGTAATTATTTCATATTACTAAGGGATAGCTGCAGCCCCTTCATCACATTTCTGTGACATTTGAAAGTTTCATCAGTACCAGAACTCAAGAATACAATGACAAAATTGTGTTTTTACCAACCTGTTGTTGCCGACTCTGAACCAACTTGAACGCTGCCCCCTGGTACGATACCAAGAACTGTTATCGTGTAAGTCGTACCCGGCTGTAGACTGCTTATAACTGCTTGGGGTACATCTGAAGTGACAATTCCTGTGTGTTGGCCATCAGCACTGACATAGTCTATGCGGTATATGGAGGCATCTTGTATTGGCGTCCACTCTGCGCTGATTGTATTTGGAGTTTTTCCTAGAATTGTGACTGACGTTGGTAAGGCTGCAAAGAGATCAAGATGCGTTGGCAGATTTTTTTAAAACTAATTTACAACTGAGGGGGCTGAAACATCAATTTGATTGGGTTTAGATTAACATGTCAAATGATTACAATTGCCAAGATTTTCAAAAAAAGTAAACCTAGGACAACTCTTGCCTTGTCCATCACAGTTTTAAATGTCCAAACATATAACATATTTCGTAACCCAAACATGAATCTTATGAAATATACAATAGCGTATCGAAAATTGCCCTTTGCGACCATGTTTAGGGAACAGTACCTTAAATATGGAGTTTAATGGTTCTCTTAAAGCAAGTCTCGTTAAAACAAGTATTTACATAATGCAAGTATTTAAAAAAAAAAATGTTATCTCACAGTAAGAATAAAATGTATCTTTCTTTAACATAGACAATTAAACCATCCGAGACGAGGGTCTTCCACACCTGCACAAAATAATGATGAATAATAATGCAGCATAACAATATATTTTTTTAAAGAGAATTTTCATTTTCTTTCGGCTGTTTGATTTGTATCTTCCCTCATATTTTAATGAGATGTAAACAAATCTTCCATATAGAAGTACTTTGAAAACCAACATTACTTTTACAAAACCAAAGATTCAGAGTATAGATTTGTTATTATGTTTTTTCCTGTACATTTTCATTTAATAAAGGAACCTGGGAATAAGGGCAAGGAGTAGGAAAGTAATAATATGTGCATGAAAATATTGTTTGGGATTAGGAACTCTTATTTTAACACTGACCTGTTGTTGTTGCAACTGTGTTTCCAACTTCCACTCGTCCTGTATTCGTGAGGGCGGTAACATCAACATTGTATGCCGTTGCTGGAAGCAGGCCATTTAGTGTAACAGTCTCTGAAGTGGCGGAAGCAGTTTGTACATTTCCATCTGGACCAGTGTAGGATATCTGATATAAGATGGTATTAGGTATCGGTGTCCATGAGATAATGGCTGAGTCTTGTGTGGCTGAATCCACATTGACTTCAGTTGGGAGATCTGCAGTCCGAGCACACGTACACAAAAGACAATGTCACGTTAAGCATTAAAGGCATGCATAGTTGTGTTTTAAGCTGTGAAATTTTAAAATTAGAATTGTAATACAAATTTGATAAATAATAGATAAAGTTGCAAGGAAAAGGTGTCCAGAATACAGTGGTTGCCATTACTAGATCCATCAAAACACTTTTTGGGAAATATGCATTTAAAATGCACAACATATCCAAATTGTGATTTTTACCACGTAAAGGTAATAACTGTCTCGTTACGTCTTGTCATTAATTCATTAAGTAGTCGAGAAAGAGGACTGAATTGGAACATTGTGACCAGACACAATGCACAGTAGGACTTTGAGACAGGCTACCAGTACTTTTACAAATACAACTTTTTTTCTTCTTCACAGTATTTATTGAAAATAAATTTCATTCATAATAATAATAGTACATGATAATAATAATAGTAATAATAACATGTTCGTATAGACATAGAATATGTATAATACAAATATAATGTAATAGTTAACTCATCAGCAATATAGAAAAAAAAAGTAAACAAAATATCTGCAATTTCTTATTATGAAGATCGAGACGATTTTTCTTGAAAACAATTATACGTTCCATATTTTCAAAATGTTTGAAAGCTCGTTGAAAAGAAGGAAATAGTGGAATAACGTTTTGCATTTTACAAGTGAATATAAAATAGTTTGCAAAAATAATAACTGTATTGACGAAATACAAATAAAACATGAAAGCTTTTCAAACGATCTCTTTTCTGATACGTTTTTCTGTATTTTTACGTACACGAACATGAATATTTCTTGTTCTTTTAGACAATTATGAACCAAGATTCGAAAATGAGACCCCTATTTTGCAGAAATGGGATTTCCTTTCTATGAATCCCTTGTCTAAGGAAAAACTAGAGAGAGAAGTGAACTGATTACCATTTTTATTTTTTTAAAGAGGCTCTTTTCGCTTTAATCATGGAGGGGTAGACAAGTGCATTGAATGCTTTCCAAAAGTTTCCCTTTTTTAAAAAAGCAGTGCCATTCGAATATTAAAGGAACACATCTCCTCCAAAAAAATCAGAGAAACCAGAAAAACATTAAATAGATGTAGATAGAACTGCGTATGTTATTTGTACCCTCTGTCTATATCAGCTGTTCTACCTGATTTCGATTTTTCAATTTCATTAAATTCTTTTCAATCATATCCATTATCAATATCCTTAATTTGTTTAAAGAACTGGGCATGAGGATGCTTTCAGTTGCCAGACAGTTTCCTATTGAGATAGGATAGGCCCGTTAATTTGTTCCTACGACTCTTTTCCTCTTTTTTTCCTTGAAATGTCAAAATATACTGAAAGTCCATGTTGTAATTGCATGACCCGTTATGTTTTATCAGCATATCATTCATTCATTCTAAATTCTCCCCAGACCCAAGAGTTGGTTCATGAGAGGGAGGACCAAGGTTCGAAACCAAGTTGATTTGCTACCGCCCTCTGGACAGTAGTCTTCTTTATTAAGTCCGTCGGTTCCCAGGTTACTTACTTACAGGCATATGCTTTCTTTGCACTCAGGTAAAATAGACCATTAAACCAACCAACTAAACCAAATGCAAGTTTCGTTGATTCTTCTTACTTATAAAGGGAGTGGGGCACGAGTGAAAGGAGTGGGAGGGGAGGATGGGGTTAGCACCTACTCCACCTTATAAATGATACACCATTAATTCTCTGATAAAAAAACATGTGGAACGGTTTACTGTATGATATAAACGTATATTCTTAAAACTATGAATTCTAGGATTATATCCAGCCCCCGTTTTCATTTCATTGAATAGTTGGCATTTCTTTTATAATAATTTAAATTATTCATTTTCTCAATATTTCCTCTTTCTGCTCTGCATGAGTTCAATTCTTAAAGATATTACATACCTGTAGTGGCTGGTACATTTCCCAATACTCTTTGTCCCGCTGCATCAGTTGATTCCACGCGGAAGGTATAAGTAGTTCCAGGAGTAAGACCTGTAATGGTTGTTGTGGGGTCGGTAGTGGGATTTCCCGACTGTTCTACTCCATCCGGTCCAGTGTAGAATGCCCGGTAGAAAAAGCTTCCAGGAACAGGCGTCCATGATAATGTTGCCGATGTTTCTGATACACTATCAACATTGATTTGTGTCTGTAGATCTGCGGCAAAAAATATTCCATGGATGAAAATTGATAGGAAAATTCTCCTTTAAATGAACAAGAAAAATCTGTTTTTGTATCAAGGGTTGTAAAGAATCATCCTAAATATTTCGTGTTTTTTTTTTTTTTTTTTTTTCAGGTTAAGTTGCACAAAAAAAATTACGGGGTGATTCCATGTAGGAAAAAAAATACAATGAATTAGTTGTTTAAGTTTTCATTAAAGGTAAAGACCAGTATTGGAAACGCCCCAATTTCAAAAAAATGAAATGGAAGCTCTCATTACCAATCATGTGAAAGAATATGTTTTGACTAATACATGATGATAAAAAAT